CCAAGGGAAAATATGGGTTGTTCAAAGATAAGCAGGGAGGAAAAAGCTCATATACTGGCTTGGAGAAAAGAAAAAATCACCATAAAAGAAATCTGCCACCATAATGGATAAGCAAAGTCCAGCATAATGGCTTTGCTTACTGCTGCCTGTGGCCTCCTTCCTGCCACTCATGGCCTCCCTCCAGATGTCATTCCCACTACAAAACCTCATACTGGATGGCCAAGGAGGACATCTAAACACAGATGATCTGGGAAATCCACATTTCAGCGCATTTAAGATCATCAAAGCAGGGTGACGTGCTTCTCCTCCAACACGAGGTACAACCCTACATACACAGTGAGAACCACAAAGCACCCACAATCCATCATGCTCTGGTGGTTGACTTGGTTATGGGGGTTCATACTTCCTTCCCCAAAACATTACAATGTCAACCACTACATTACCTTTCTCGAGGACCACCTGCGAAATATTTTCAAAATTCACATTTGAACAACCTTTATGCAAGAGTGTGCTCCCTGTCAGAAAGCCAAAAAGTAACCAAGTGGTTTGCAGCCAGGGAATAGTGCAGCCCACTATCCTACTGAGAATGCCTGGAATATGAAAAATAAAATGGAATCCTGCCACATTTCATTTATGTCGTGCCTGTAGCAGGAGATCAAAGACATTTGGGTCAGCTATAAAATGCTTATGTAAACTGAGTGCATTCCTAAATGGCTTCAAAGGGCATCAAGGTCAAGGAGATGACAACAAAATACTAATGTAAATACCAAGTATTACAGTTTTTGTTCTTTACAGGAGGGCCCTGAGTGTACAGCATCCTCTTTTCAGTGTTCCACATTTTAATTGGCTTTCAACTGAGCCATTGTTCATCATGTTCAGTATTTTTATCACTTTTCTGCCATTTTGGACAAAACAGCTGCATAAGAGAAGGGCGACAGGCGCCATATTTCAAGATAAGTATTTACGTACTGTGTATTTATTTTCTTCTTATTCTTTTTAGTAATCTTTACAGGAAAAGGGGTTACTAGCCCATTGTTCCCGGCATTTTAGTTGACTTTTACAACACGCATGGCTTACGGAGGAAACATTCTTATTCCACTTCCCCATGGATATAAAAGGAAAAGTAATAAGACCAAGAACTATTAAGATAAAATCAAAGAAAACTCAGATGAGTGAGTATAAATAAATGTGTACATGTATGTGTAGTGTGACCTAAGTGTAAGCAGAAGAATAAGAAGAAGAAAATTGTCAAAGTGGGAAGTCTGAATGTGCGTGGATGTTGTGCAGATGCTAAGAAAGAGATGATTGTGGATGTTATGAATGAGAAGAAGCTGGATGTCCTGGCTTTAAGTGAAACAAAGCTGAAGGGGGTGGGAGAGTTTCAGTGGAGAGGAATAAATGGATTAGGTCAGGGGTTTCAAATAGAGTTAGAGCTAAAGAAGGAGTAGCAATAATGTTGAAGGATAAGCTTTGGGCAGGAAAAGAGGGACTATAAATGTATTAATCAAGGATTATGTGGAGTAAAATAAAGATTGGATGTGAAAAGTGGGCTATAATAAGCGTGTATGCACCTGGAGAAGAGAGAAGTGTAGAGGAGAGAGAGAGATTTTGGGAAATGTTGAGTGAATGCATGGGGAGTTTTGAATCAAGTGGAGAGTACTTGTGGTTGGGGATTTCAATGCTAAAGTGGGTAAAAATGTTATTGAGGAGTAGTAGGTAAATTTGGGGTGCCCGGGGGAAATTTTAAATGGGGAGCCTTTATTGAAACTATGTGTGAAAAAGATTTGGTAATAAGTAATACATATTTTATGAAAAAGGGATAAATAAATATACAAGGTATGATGTAGCACTAATGAAAGTAGTTTTTAGATTATGTATTGGTGGATAAAAGGTTGATGGTAGGTCCAGGATGACATGCTTATAGAGGGGCAACTGATATATCGGATCATTATTTAGTTGTAGCTACAGTTAGAGTAAGAGGTAGATGGGAAAAGAGGAAAGTGGCAACAACAAGTAAGAGGGAGGTGAAAGTGTATAAACTAAGGGAGGAGGAAGTTCGGGTGAGATATAAGCGACTAATGGCAGAAAGGTGGGCTAGTGCCCACCATCTTTTAGGAGTGAAGAAGAGCAGACTGTAAGTGTGGGGGAGGTACGTGAGGCATTACGAAAAAATGAAAGGGGGTAAAGCAGTTGGAAACTGATGGGACATGACAGAAAGTTAAAAGCGGGGGGGGATATAGTGTTTGGAGTGGTTGGTACTTTTGTTTAATAAATGTATGAAAGAGGGGAAGGTACCTGGGGATTGGCGGAGAGCATGTAAGTCCCCTTTAAATATAAAGGGAAAGGGACAAAAGAAAACTGGTAAAAATTATAGAGGAATAAGTTTACTGAGTATACCAGGAAAAGTGTCGGTAGGGTTAAATTGAAAGAATATAGGGGTAAGACAGAATGTAGGATTGTGGATGAGCAAGGAGGTTTCAGAGTGGGTAGGGGATGTGTAGATCAAGTGTTTTTCATTGAAGCATGTATGTGAACAGTATTTAGATAAAGGTAGGGAAGTTTTTATTGCATTTATGGATTTAGAAAAGGCATATGATAGAGTGGATAGAGGAGCAATGTGGCAGATGTGCAAGTATATGGAATAGGTGGGAAGGTTTATTAAATGCTGTAAGAGTTTTTATGAGGATAGTGAGGCTCAGGTTAGGGTGTGTAAAAAGAGAGGAGACTACTTCCCGGTAAAAGTAGGTCTTAGACAGGGATTGTGTAATGTCACCATGGTTGTTTAATATATTTATAGATGGGGGTTTTAAAGGAAGTAAATGCTAGGGTGTTCGGGAGAGGGGTGGGATTAAATTTTTTGGGGGAAACAAATCAAAATGGGAATTGACACAATTACTTTTGCTGATGATACTGTCTTATGGGAGATTCTAAAGGGAAAAATTGCAAAGGTTTAGTGGAGAGTTTGGGAATGTGTGTAAAGGTAGAAAGTTGAAGGAACATAGAAAAGGAGTAAGGTGATTAGGATGTCAAATGATTTGATAAAGAAAAATTGGATATCAAATTGGGGAGGGGAGCATGAAGAAGTGAATGTTTCAGACACTTGGAGTTGATGTCGGCGATGGATTTAGAAGATGAGGTAATCATAGAATTGATGAGGAAAAAACGGTGAGGGTGCTTGAGGTATATGTGGGTCAAACTACGTTATCTTGGAGGGCAAAAAGGGAATGTATAAAGTATAGTATTAACCTAACATATTTATATGTGTGAAGCTTTGGTGGTAAATGAGCAGGAGAGGTTGGAAGGCAGTGGAGATGCCTGTTTAAGGGCAATGTGTGGTGTAAATATTATGCAGAAAATTCGGAGTGTGGAAATTAGGAAAAGGGTGGAGTTAATAAAATGTATTAGTAGAGGGCAGAAGAGAGGGGTTGTTGAGGGGGTTTGGTCATTTAGAGAGAATGGATCAAAGTAGAATGACATGGAAAGCATATAAATCTATAGGGGAAGGAAGGCGGGGTAGGGGTCGTCCTCGAAAGGTTGGAGAGAGGGGGTAAAGGAGGTTTTGTGGGCAAGGGGCTTGGACTTCCAGCAAGCGTGCATGAGCGTGTTAGATAGGAGTGAATGGAGACGAATGGTACTTGGGACCTGACGATCTGTTGGAGTGTGAGCAGGGTAATATTTAGTGAAGGGATTCAAGGAAACCGGTTATTTTCATATAGTCGGACTTGAGTCCTGGAAATGGGAAGTACAATGCCTGCACTTTAAATGAGGGATTTGGGATATTGGCAGTTTGGAGGGGTATGTTGTGTATCTTTATATGTGTATGCTTCTAAACTGTTGTATTTGAGCACCTCTGCAAAAACAGTGATAATGTGCGAGTGTGGTAAAAGTGTTGAATGATGATGAAAGTATTTTCTTTTTGGGGATTTTCTTTCTTTTTTGGGTCACCCTGCCTTGGTGGGAGACGGCCGACTTGTTGAAAAAAAAAAAAAAAGTATTTATTTTACTATTTGTTTGTTTTTTTATGCCTATCTTTATTGAGCACTTAATATATGATAGTGTAATCACATTATCAGGTATTTTTGATGCCTCTAATAATGAAAAAGCGCTCTTTTCCACCCGCCAGCAATTTTTGCTTACCATATGGGGTCGGGAACTTAAGAGCTGTACAAAAAGGACCTTCCTGTAATATTTAGATTGTTACATTTTAACAATTTTCAAAATGAAAAAGGGAGGTCTGGATTGTTAAAAGTGTGTGCTATTCATATATTTTTGGTAAAATTTGTTAAGTGGAATTTTTAATTCAGAATTTATAAGTTGGATGTTTCAAGGCAGTGTACATTATATAATATGTTCTAAAATAATTTTTACATCACAATGGACCCTCAGTGTTCGAACGTACCAGACCGTAAACAAACCGGAGCCCAAACAATTTTGTTCAGAAAAATTGACCCAGTTTTTGAATGTTTTTCTGGAATCTGAAAGCAGTGACCTGTTTAAAATTCAGTTGTAAAAAAACTTTATAAGAAAGCCATTTCAGAAATGCTTTGAAGTGACCTCTGACACTGACCTAACTAAAAGAGGATTTTGGAAGAGTCAGTTCAACATCCTCCAGTGTGAAAGGCTGATAATTAAAGCTTGGAAAATACTGTTTCGGACAACAAACTTTTCGCAGTTCAAACACCAACTATGAACCAATTAAGTTTATACACTGGGGTTCCACTGTAAGTGTTTAACACTAAAGTTTTATCTGTCCATGCCAAAATCACATAGAATTATCTAAAATGTGATCTAAAATGTTGATTATCCACCCTCAATCACACTCCCATTGTACTTCTGGAAAGTACGACAATTTGTAAGATGGAAATCAATGGAAGATCATGATTTTCATTACTTAAACTCACATAATTTATTGGAGGGAATGGGAACCCTTTCATTCAACAGGAACTGCCTACATGCATCTAAATTTAACTGACTACACAAACCTAGAAGCATGAACTTACCTTTAAGTGTTGAATCTTTACTGCCGCTTACAAGAAGGCGAGAATCAGCTGACCAAGCAACTTGGTAAACACCACAAACATGGCCTCGTAACACACCCAGGAACCTAGACAACCTCAGTGTTAATCTATTAAACTTGCCCAACAATCATCATTTCATTTACATTTTGTATAAATATGAAATGACACTTTGCAATTAATAAATATGTGAGTATATAAAATTAACTTTTTAATTACTTTCACAAAGTTAAGAGTTATTTTTGGAACCAACAAATACAGAGAAAGTAAATGAAACCTGTGCATTTGTATCCAGGATTACATGAGGATACAATGACTCCCAGCTACTCAAGATGTTCACATAGAAAAAGAATTTATGAAAATCTTCTGTGGGGTTTAATAAAGCTTATGTGCATATTTCCCACAGTACACAATTAAGTTAAGTTTTGCAAAGATCTATACAAATCTGTTACTGTATCATAATGGTTGTAAATGCACCAAGGTGAATGTAAAGCAAGTATTGTAGGCCATACTTTCCATTCAGTCCGCTCCATAATCTTATGCTCTTGTCAAATGAAGCTGATGCAATGATACGTGTGTCTGGCGAAAATTTGACATCATTTACCAGTTGTTGATGGCCAGTCATGCGCTCTGAGAAGAAAACCTCCATAAGACTTCTACTACTACTAAAACCAGACATATTACCATGGTATATTTAAGACTTGACTTTTTCTATAAAAGAATACTTCATTTATTAACATGAATGATCAAAAGTCTTTCTGACATTTAAAATATTTTAACACAAAGAAATTAGAAGGATCTTTAAACAAAAAACACATAAGCAATTATTATTACAATAAGTAGAAGAACAAGAAAGCAAACTCACCAATAGGTTTTTTGTTCCTGGCAGGTTCCCAGAGGAAGAGAGTAAAGTCATCAGAGCCGGATGCTAACCGCTCCACTCCACCTGCAGCTGCTAGTGCTTCCTTATAGCGTTTCTCAGCATGAGCTTGTCTTTTGTCAGCTGAAATGTATTACATTTCTCAAAAATTACATCTGTAGTAATTACATTTCAAAGGAAGAAATAATTTATTTTATTAACGCATCGGCCGATTCCCACCAAGGTGGGGTGGCCCGAAAAAGAAAAACTTTCATCAACATTCACTCCATCACTGTCTTGCCAGAGGGGTGCTTTACAGTACAGTTATAAAACTGCAACATTATCACCCCTCCTTCAGAGTGTAGATACTGTACTTCCTATCTCCAGGACTCTTGTCATCTCCCACCCAAATCTAGCCTCACTCAACACTACTGTTAATGAAGAGCTTGCAAAAATAGCAACCTGGATAACTGTCAATAAACTTACACTAATATACACAAAACCTTTTACATTATGTTTGAGAGTAGAGCAAGTGAGGTCCAACTAAACATTATGCTTAACAACACCCTTACTGCTAAACATAATGAGGGAAAATTCCTGGGTCTGCACCCTGACAGCAACCTGAAATTCAACACCCATATCCAACACACAACAAAAAAAGGCCTCTAAAACAGTTGGCATCCTCTGAAAGATTCTTTACTATGTACTACAAACAGCACTACCTAAACTATACTTTTCACAGATCTACCCCTACCTCACCTATGCTATTTGTGCCTGGGACTCCACAACAACAAATCACCTAAAACCAATAACAACCCAACAAAAAGCTGCAGTGCAAATGATCACACAATCCACAACTAGACAACAGCCCTCCCACTCTTCAAAGACCTAAATCTACTCACTATACCAAACATTCACTCGTATTATTGTGCAACCTACCCTAAGTGCTTTCTTGACAGTTGCAATAGACATAACACTAGGCACAAAAACTTCTATGACATTTCCCCTGTCAGGCAAAAGCTTTTCAAAAACTCAGTGTACATAAAAGGGCCCAAAATCTGGAACTCTCTGCCAGAAATCTCCAGAACCACAGGTTCTGCTAGCATTTTTAAAGCTACAGTTAAAAAACACCTTATCTCCTCAACCTATCCCAGCCCATCTTAAATACATTTGTAAAAACTATACATGCATTTGCTCAATATTATGAACATAGGTAAAACTTTATAATCAATATATACTTACTCTCAATATCTGTGTTCATTTCAAATGTTAATCACTCAATTGTGTCCACCTAAGGTTAATAAACAAAACTGTAATTCTTCTCTACAAAAATTATTAAAGCCAAATGGCTCAACCTAATAGAATATTCAATTCTCTTGTATTCATTATAACTCACCTAATGACCATATGTATGGTTATTGCCTTATTAATCTTGAGTTAGTTTTAAGTTTGCCCAAAATGCTTAGCATATAAAGGGGCTTTTGGCATGTACACCCAACTATTATATTCCTTTGTACAAACATGCATCATGTTGAAATAAAATATTATTATTATTATTATTATTATTATTATTCTTTCAATGCACTGGCCGTATCCCACCAAGGCATGGTAGCCCAAAAAAGAAAAACAAAAGAATTTTTTTTTTTAACATTAGTAAATTCTACAATACTTTTTTAAAACTCCTGTCGTCTCCGACGAAGGGTGGCCCGACAAAGAAGAAAACACTTTCACTGTCATTCATTCAATTACTCTCTTGCCCGGGAAGGGCACCAACATCACAATTCAGATGACCCTCCTAACCGCAGGAGAAGGGGTTATTAGCCCCTTGCTCCTGGCATTTTAGTCGCCTCTTATGGAGGAAAAATTCTGTTCCACTTCCCCATGGAGATAAGAGGCAATAAACAAGAACAAGGGCTAGTAAGAAAATATAAGAAAACCCAGAGGGATGTATATATACATGCTTGTACATGCATGTGTAGTATGACCTAAGTGCAAGTAGAAGTACCCAAAATCTTGCATGTAGTATATGAGACAGAAAAAAGACACCAGCAATCCCACCATCGTGTACAACAATTACAGGCTTTTGTTTTACACTTACTTAGCAGGATGGTAGTACCTCCCTGGGTGGTTGCTGTTTACCAACCTACTACCTAGGATTATTTATATTATTATTATTATTATTATTATTATTATTATTATTATACAGTACAGAGTTTATGATAAAAATATGATTACAGAATATACATATAAATTGGCAGACAACTTGTTGCTAAAACTGGTACATTATCATACTGATATGAAACATTGTATAAATCCTTATCCATTAACACATATTTTACCATCATAAGTTCTATTACTTGTCTAATAATATTTCTTCTTATTAAAATTATTAGGGAATGGTGGATAATCACAGCCAATACAAGGAAAATGATGTTAACTTAATTCCCATGAACCAAGAGCCCTTCAGTTGCATCATGGAACCTCCCTATAAGTACCTTGAAGTTCACTGTTTTGTAACACAGGAACTCAATTTTATATTGTTTAATGTAATAAATAAACAATTTTTTTTTTCTTTTTTTTCAACATGTCAGCCATTTCCAAAACCGAGGCGGGGTGCCCCAAAAAACAAAAAAAAACCCCCCCCCCAAAAAAAGAAAAACTTTTTTCAACATCATTCAACACTTCACCATCCCATACAAAATCGCTTTTCTTGCAGAGGCGCTCAGAAAACGACTTTTTAATAAGTCCCCCAAACTGCCAACATCCCTAAACCGTTACCCCCCTTTTTAAGAGTGCGGAAATTGTTTTTTCCCCATTTCCAGACTCAAGTCGGCAAACCCGGGTTTTCCCTGAATCCAGCCCACAAAATTTTACCCTGCTCACACCCCAAACCCAGTTCACCCGGCCCCAAAAAACCATTCATCTCCCATTCACCCACCCAAAACACCTCACGCATGCTTGCGGGAAATTTCCCAACCCCCTTCACCCAAAAAAACCCCCTTTTACCCCTTCCCTAAAAAACCTTTTCAGGACACCCCTACCCCCCCTTTCCCTTTCCCCCTAAAAGTTTTAAACCCTCTCCATGTCTTTCCCAAACTTTGATCCTTTTCCTCTCTAAAGACCAAACCACCTCAAAAAACCCCTCTTCAGCCCCTCTGCTAATATTTTTAAAGTAACTCCACCCCTTCCCCCTAATTTCCACCCTCCAATTTTCCCTGCATAATTTTTAAACCCCAAAGCATTGCCCTTAAAACCAGGACATCCCACTGCCTCCATCCGCCTTTTTCCGCGCACATATAAAACCCAACTTCACACCCATATAAGTTTAAAAGTCCACTTTTCCTTTGTACTTTTCCCCTTCTTTGCCTCCTTTGGAAACTTTTTTGGGTCTCCACAGATACCTAAATGCACCCTCACCTTTTTTTCCTTCATAAATTTCCCTATTTTTAAACCTCATCCTTCAAAAACCCCAAATCCACCCCAAGCAACCCCCAAAATCGGGAAAACATTCACCTTCTTCCAAAACTCCCTCTCTCCAATTTTATATCCAACTTTTTTTTATCAAAATTTTTTGGGAAAACCTTCACCACTTTACTCTTATCTATTTTCATTTTAAAATTTTCCATCTTTACACACAATTATTTTTACTACATACAGTGGTACCCCCAAGTTTCATACACCCTTCCCAACTCAAACAAAAATGTAAGTGTTTTAATTTTAAGGGGCTTTTGTAAGGGGTTTTTTTGGGGGTTGAAAACAGACTAATCAAATTTACATTTTCCTTATGGGAAAAAATTTCCCTTTGGGAAAACGGCCCCTTTAAAACCACCCTTTCCCTGGAAAAAATTATGGAAAAAAACTCGGGGTACCACTTTTTTTTTTAAAAAAACCCTTTTCATGTTGAGACCCCTGATCCTAAACCCTCACTCTCATGTCGAATTTTTAAAAAAACATAAAATTTTTTTAAATTATGAGATGATTGATTTTCTTTTTCCAAATGGTAATGACACTAAAAGTATAAAAATTTGGGAGGGAAAAAACTTATGGAATTACTCTCTCCCGGGGTTTACAGCTCAGCAATACATACACATAAACTTTTCTGGCCCCAAGAGCCCTATTTTGGCCCAATTTCCATTGTTCCTTGACCAACTCAAACTATTTGATTTGTTCTATTGAGTAAAAAAACCCTGCCCATTTTACTGATTTCAACTACCCGAAAAATTGGCAAAATTTGGGGAAATTTGGAAAATTTCAGGGAAAACCTTAAAAAGATTTAAATTTTCAAAAAAAGGTTTCCCAGAAAAAACCCAATGCAGTTTTTCCCGGGCCCCCCCAAAAAAAAAAAAATTTTTTCTGTTCATCATTAATGCCTGCAGGATCCTCTTATATACCTTATTTTTCTTTTTGGGAAATTTTTTTATTCACACAAAAAATAGAAGTTTTTAACCTGTTATCCAAACTACTGCATTAATGAAAAAATTTGAAATAAATAATGTCAACTCATTCATGCCTGTTATTAGAATGACAAAATTGGACATTTAAAAGGGACAATAACGTCATTTGTTTACTCTTGAACACTGGCAAAAAATCAAACTTTTTCCGCTATTTTGACCAAAATTTAAAGGGCCCTTTTTTCCCTTCAAAAACCCAATCAAAATCATCTCTATTTCTGCAATAAGGTTTTCCATTCTATCAAAAAAGCCCAAAAGAAGATGAGAATACAACCATAAAACCAAAAACGAATATACACCTCAAAGTGGGCATTTTAAATTTCCAAAAACACGGTCATTTTTTTTTTTTCCTCATTAGCACGGGCATGCTGCAGATTTTTTTTTATATTTCCTTTTTTGCGCCCACGACCACACAGACCCCTTTTCCTCTCACCCGTGGGCCTACCCCTTTTCTCCCGCTTGATTTTAAGCTCTAGAATTTTGGGTAAAAATAAAGTCAAAAACACGGTTCAAAAAGACTAAATATACACCCAAAAAAAGTCAAAGGTTAAAGTGAAAGATTTTTTTAAGATATAGAGAGAGATCTCACTTTCCCCAACCCTAGATAAGAATAAAAATAACACTACAAAATTTTAATGCAGATTTTTCAAGCAGGCCCTTTTTTTTAAAATAACAGCCTATCCATTCTCAATG